CCATCCATCCAACCATCATCCAACCAGCCATCCATCCATCCATCATCCATCCAACCAACCAACCATCATCCAACCAGCCAGCCATCCATCCAACCATCATCCAACCAGCCATCCATCCATCCAACCAACCATCATCCATCCATCCATCCATCCATCCATCCATCCATCCATCCATTCAAAATATATTTTCTCTAAAACAGTAAATGATTAATGTTATTTGAATTATTTATATTTATATACTTTAATCAGACATGAATCCTGGTTCTGAATGGATCCATTCAGACATTAKAGTCCAGCTTCCTCAGCTGAACAGGAAGATTCTCTGTTCCGATCCACCAACACAACTCAGGCCCTGCCGAGGTCCACCCACCAGGACCAGGACCTCTCGACCCGGCTCTGTGGTTTTCAGGATGAAATTACAAAGTGGAGCTCGATGGTGACTTTAGAAACTCCAACACAAACTGAAACATCAAACAGAACCCAAGCTCAGACCTCGCATCAGAACCATCAGAGTTGAAAYGAGCCACAGGAAGTTGGTCTTTACACGAATGAGCTTCTGTTTTCAGAACACAATCACAAATAAAGCTCTGACCCCAGAGTCTTCAGGTCTGCTAGGAGAAAACCTGTGAATCAACAGAACCGTGAGGCGTGAATGGAATGGATCAGGYGGTGCTGGCAGCGCTCAGGCGTCTCGGCCTGTTGAAGCTGATCAGACGAGCTGAGAGAAGCTGCTGACGGACAGGTGCACACACACTAGGTGAGATATATGAGGCTTCAGTGAACGGGTCGGGTCTGAAAACGCTCCCAGCAGCTCCTGCCTGTGCAYGTTCCTCAGCAGGAACACCCAGAACCTACTCTGACACGGTAACACAAACTTTACCTGCGGGCAGTTCTTCAAATAAATTAAATGAATATAATTTAATTTTTCTTGTTCTTACGTCTCATACTTACTGAGTTAAAGTTTTAGGATTTAAAGTCTGAGTTGAGATGATGATAATTCCTCCAGAGGAASACGAAGAAATGCTGCAGAGTTTCTGTTGAGTTCATAAATCTGAAAGTTTTCTGTAAAGAATCCAAATCACAGTTACATAAATGTCTCTGAGCAGCCGGACTTTAATCCTTTAACTTATTGGGTTTCACAAAAAACTAAAGTGGGAAAAAAAAATCTGTTTTTGATTTCTGTGAAGAATTAGAAAGAAAATCTTTTATTAGTCAGCTCTGTTTGAGTGTGACGAATAAAACCAGGCATCGTTTCTGAGTCTGAACTGAACAAAGAGGCTGTAAAAGTTGTTTTCTGAAAATGATTTTCCACCACACGAATGTTGTGGAAAACTTCACCTTCATCATCGGAAAACCAAACAAAAACTTTCCAAACTGAACTGAAGCTGTTTTTTTTTTTTTTTCTGCACAGATGTTTTCATGACTCATCAGGTTTTTCTGCCGAAGCTCGTCGCCTCCAGATTAAAAGCAGACATTCGTGTCAGGAGATCTCCTCTTTGTAACCTGAGCTGAGCTGTTTGTGTTGACGGACCTGCGGGGAATAAAAAGCTAATGTCTGCAGCTGTTTGGTTCAGGTCTGCGTGTTTCTGTGAGCTGGAGGCTCTTCTGAAGACGGGATGTTTATTTTTGTGTGAATCAACAGTTCTGACTCTTGAGATCCATTTTTCTTCAGATTGTTTTTCAGCACATACCTCACACTCTTCCTGTTTTTGTGCTAATTTCAGCTTCTTTTTCCCCGCTAATTTTCTTCTTTTTCAGCTAGCTATCTTTCTGTTCCTTTCTGATATTCTTTGGCTAAATTAAACTTTTCTGTGCTTCTTCTGTATACTAAAKTAAGCTGTTTTCCAGCCTTTAAGCTACATTTTAGCTGATTTCAGCTAACTTTAGCTTTATTCTACTAACTTCATCTTTATGCAATAATTTCAGCTTCTTACCGTGGAATTCAGCAAATAGGTGAAAATCCCTAGGAGGAGTTCGCAAAAGTTCGAAGTGAGCGAAATAGAAAATCGGCCAAAATTTGACCTTTGACCTAAAATGGCCGGCTTCCTTTTGGTTTTCGGGCATACCTCCAAGAGACTTTTTTTCTTGATTTGGAGAGATCTGCGTTTGTCTCAAATTTCAGCTCTCTAGGACTTACCAGTTCCTCTATCTCACGTTAGGTGGCGCTGTTGAGTCATTTGGCCACGCCCATTAAAAATTCCAATGGAATCAGATGATTTTCACCGGGGGACAATTTTGGGTGAAGTTGGGTGAGTTTTCGCTTATGGCAAAGCCTCCAAATTTGCGTTCAAAGAGGCAGAATAATAATAATGATTAAAGCTGTAAGCAGCGTTGGCGGGCCTCACAGCTTGAGCGCCACTTCGGCCATGTGGCGACTACGGGAGAGCTTGCATTACCCCAATTTGGCATTACTCCGCTCCAAATGGACAAATTCTCTTTCTGCTTTTTGTGCTAATTTCAGCTTTCTGTTTCTTTTTTCTGCTAATTTTAGCTATTTTCTTCTATTTCAGCTAGCATTCTGGTCATTTCTGATATTCTGCTAATTTCAACATTTTTGTGCATCTTTCTGCTTTGTGCTAATTTCTATCACTATTTTTGCTAATTTTATCTTTTTTTCCCACTAACTATCTTTTGTGATAATTTCAGCTTCTTACTGCTGAATTAAGCAAATATAGTGTTTCTGCATCGTTATGTAATATCAGCGTTTTCAGCTACTTTAGCTATTTTTAAATCGTTTCAGCATTATTTAGCTGTTTTATCACAAATTGCAACTTTTTTTGTATTTATTTCCTTGTTTTTCTGCTGATGTGAGATTTTTTTGTTCTTTTATCATCTATCAGCTAAATCCAACATGCTTCTGCTATTTTTAGCTATATTTTTGCTTTGTTCAGCCTTTTCGACACATTTTTGCTTTTTTTTCTACTATCTCGATTTTTTCCTACGTTCAGCAAAATTCAGCTGTTTAAACTCATATTAACAGTTTTGTTATTGAACATTTTTAACTTTTTCAGTAGTTTTCAGCAAAAATATTTCAGCAATAARCATTCACACTGCATTTTCACAGGAAATTCAAATTGTCTGGTTTATACAAGAGAATGAGAGGAGTGTGAAGGAGGCCAAGTGACGTAAACATAATTATCAAAGTGAGAGAAAGAAAACTTTTARGGATTTAAATCTTTGTGCTGCTTGAACACTTTTAGAAGAAAATTGAATAAAAAAAGAGACAATACGAAGAGGAGCCTGTTCTCTCTCACCGGTACGTCGATCTTGATCAGAGCGATGTCAGCCTTCTCGTCGATATCTTTGATCTTAGCATCAAACGTGGCGCCGCTCTTCAGCTCCACCTGCAGGAAATAAACAACAACAAACATCCTCATCACTGACAGAGTCCAGTTTTATGAATAAAAACACTGTTGATGATGGAACATGACTTGTTTCCATCCTGTAAAACCCTCTAACTGAGATGGGATGTCATGTTTTATATGTTTAAAAACATATTTAATGATCAGAGTTTGGACATTTATTCTACGACACGTTTCTTCTCATTAAAACAAAAAAAAAATCGTCTTTTTGTTTTAGTACCTTCACTCTGTGTTTGTTGGCGACCACGTGAGCGTTGGTAACGATCAGTCCATCCTCAGAGACAACAAACCCAGAACCACTGGCCACGGCCACCTCCCGTTTAGAAAACACCATCCTGAGCAGAAACAGGAAGTGATTAAAACCCAGAAMCTGAGGAGGAAACCTGCCTATTAMAACACACGTTCCTGTAAGATTATTTAGCTTTAAAGTGTGATTTTTTTTATCAAAC